TGTGTATGTTTTAGCATAGTCGACTGGCTAGAAGTCCTCTTGTACCCCTTGATCAGAAATGCTAACAGAGCTGCTCTTCAGGGAAGCTACCAGAGCCTGGCACCTGAGCTGCCATCAGAGTTGCTATCAGAGAACCCCATCAGACTTGCTGACTGATGAAGTATATGGCCCAGGAACCCCCAGACCATAGACTCCTACTTCTCCTACACAGGCCCATTGAGCCCAAGGAACATTCGAAGTCCTCATACAACAGCCCAAGTCTCAAAGAAGCCCAAAGTACACACTGGGGTGCCTTCGGCCTCCTTGGCCGAAGGCTCCAAAATACACAGGGCACCAAGATTCGAGCATACGAAGCTACTGGGAGAAAACGGCGTAAAACAGTAGCCATCGGCTACCAGTAGCCTTCGGGCAAACACCTGCTGCCCTCGGCATCAGGGAAGCCTTCGGCACTCCCAGGCCTTCGGCTACACAGGCCCTCGGCCGCAGGGGAGCCCTCGGCCAACAACTCAATCATCGAAAAGATTCCCTTTGGGGACAAGCAACCACCGCATTTAATGCGACGTCACATCCACCCACCGCATTCAATGCGGAGCACATGCGACTGCCAGTGCCACCCGATTGAGGTGACCCCTCGGCCGTCGGATTATCGCCACGTGTACTCTCATCGCATTTATTGCTACTATAAATAGCACCCCATTTCCCCATTGTAAAGGATCCCAGACCAGAACATCTCGAGTTCATAAATATAATCGCCTCTCTCTCCTACTTGTTTGCTCAGACTTCTCTCTAGGTTATTCCCGTAATAACCCCTCGGATAAGCTACCCCCCGGGTACACAATCCATCACTGACACTTGGAAGAACTCGAAGGAACTTCCAAGGGCCGTGAAACTAACGGGAAATACCCTAACGGCTAGGAGCCACTCAACGGAACATGGTACTGTTCACGCATTAAATGCTCAATTAATGTTGTTCGTACGTTGAGATATTTAAAGCTGATGATTGACCCTGCGGATATCCTTTCGCCCTCAAAATAGCAGGTTGAAGGACCAACCGGTCAAATCAACAGTACTAGCATTAAATGAAGTTGTCTTCTACACTCCAACGGGAAGACTGCTCCTAGTATATTAGATACACTTCGAGGAACTACAAGATAACTTCTGCTTTCATCACACATTCAAACTACAAGCTTTCTTGAGATCTCAACTACATCTCCCTTCAACAAGAAAAGCCTACGTTGGAAAAATATCATCTTCATATCCTCTATACCAACTCAGAGCAGAGTTCCTCAAGTTCTTCAACACTCCAAGAACCTCAACTACACATCTTTTATAACGAAGCAACGTTGGAGAAAACAGTTCTTAAACTGAAAACACTTCTTGAAAAAGAAGGGACGTCTCAAACTAGCTGGAGTAGAGAAGTGGGATACTTCTAAAGACTCGGTGAAATGAGACCAGTCATCAGGAAGCCAGGAAGAGCATCCCGGGTGACAACTAGGCTTGAAGAAGACGTGGAGTGCTTCTTAAGTGCTAGACTAAGGCGTTGTAATTGTTGATTTACAAGCTTAGTGGAACAGTGGACTAAAGGAACACGTTGTTCCTTGAACCACTATAAAAAACCCGGTGTCATTTACTTTTCGCATTTAATTTCTGCTCTTAGAATTTCAACTGTGAGACTCTCAAGAACTTGGAATCTGTGTTCAGCAGATCCTGGTCTAAGAGTTAACAGAAAGGCATTTGCCTTAGTGTTTTCCTCAGGCTACCCGGACAGAACTCTTATCCGCTGCCAGGTCCTGTTCTGATATCAGAATGTGACCTTCTCTGTCACTAGATTCAGACCATCTCTGATAAGTCAGTATTGACTTATAGAAAAGTTTGAAAATCTGAACAGTCTATTCACCCCCCCTCTAGACTGTTCCCTACTTAAACGGGACCAACAATATGAGAACCTCCTATACGGCTACCACTCTTCTTCTTGCAGCTAATAATAATTTTTTTTAATGGTCTCCTTAGTGGTCTTCTCGTATGAAAATAAAGAGTAGCTAACTTCCTATTTAAAGCCAAATAAGATCCCTATGCGTAAGACCAATAATTTTGCTTGAAGAAATATTTGTCCTATCCTAACTCAATCATACGCATGACCATTAACTTCTCGTACTATCACTTGTATTACTATTCAATCTTCACTATTACTTCATTTATTTGTATGCTCCACATGTCAAATGAGTTATTGCATGCATGTCTATTTGTCTCCATTCTCTTATTGTAGTAATCCAATAATTCAACTCACATTATTTACTTATTTGAGTGTGGGATTTGGGTCTTCACGGCCCTTCCTCTTTATTTTTTTTATTGAACTTTTAATTAAGTATAATTTACTATTATTTTATTACTAAGGCTCTTCTTAATGGAATTATTTACTCTATAAGTCAGAGAAGATATTAAATCTGATAAACTAATTTATTCATATGTATCTTAACTATTAGACCAGATTTTGGGGCGTTACAGTAAATCCCAGAAACTTCCCGCCTTGAACGGCAAAAGTGCATTTTTAGGGTTGAGCCTCAGGTTTACCTTCTTCATGATGTTGAAGACCTCCTTGAGGTCGCCTGCGTGATTGTCCGCTTTCTGGTTTTTCACAATCATATCATCAACATATGCCTCCATGTTCCTCCCAAGGACTGTTCGGAAGACCTTGGATACCATTCGGGTATAAGTAGCCCCAGAATTTCGTAATCCAAAGGCCATTACTATGTAGCAAAAAACTCCCTCTAGTATGATAAATGAGGTTTTCTCAGCATCGTCCGGGTGCATGGAGATATGATGGTACCCCCTGAATGCGTCCATGAAAGATAGGAGCTCGCATTGTGAGGCCTCAATGTTGCACAGTCTGTACCCTTGTGGTAACGGTGCCTCCATAATCTGGAGAGTGAATGGCTCGGGAATTCTTACATCGTGATTGAGATTGATTTTACGATCCATCTCTCTCTTGAGCTCGTCCAACCTTCTTCTGAGGTCGTCATTGTTATGGCTGGCCTGGGCACACAATGGAGATCAGCGATCTCTTCGGACCTGCCTATTTGCGTTGATATCGTCTCGGAGATCTCCCCTACACGCACTGTGGCGGGACGAAACAGCAGCCGAAAATGCTTCCTCACTATGCTCTGTGTTAGAGGAGAGCCTCTCATGAACAGAAACTCTGATATGATGGGAGCGCTGAGACCTGGCCAGCGGAGAGTTCCTCTGTTGTTGAGGGGAGATTTCTTCCTCTCGCGGGATCATAAATGGAGCCCGGTGAGGGGAAGGAGGTCTCCCGTTAGGATCAGGAATGATACCTTGGAAAGCAGTTGTCAAAGTCTCCACTTCCCTTTGAAACGTTGCCAAACTCGCCAAGGATTGCGCTAGATCCACATTGGGGATGTTGTGTCCGGTGCCTGACGTTTGGAACTGCGGTGGCCGCGCCGCGGCGCGCCTAGAACTCCCCACGCCTTGGAGTTGGTTTCTCAAATCGCCTTGAGCAGCGATATTGTCGATGCGCCTTTGGAAATCATTCCGTCGTGACCTCGAACCCTCGTCCTCGATCACGACTTGGTTATAGCGATCATCACCTTGCTTGCTACCAACACGGTTGTGACTATTCGATCCAACCATCGTTTCTCGTAAGCTCTTCTCTCAACGAGAGCACCAAATGATGGAGTTTAATCCAACTACGAGAGATAAATCTACGAAAGATATGAAATATATGGTAGCGTAAGGCAGCATTATTATTACTCAGGAAGATGAATCATCGATCCCTTGGTAGGGTATTTACAGGAAGTATATATAGACTTTAGGAGCTAGTATCCTAGGAGGAAATTGATACAATAAATGCTATTACATTCTTGATCGAATTGAATTCCTATCGCGCCTTGGACATCACGCAATGGTTATCTCCTTCCTGTCTACGAATTCATCTTGAATCCTGCCTGCTGCCAAATAGCTATACTCAAATGTTAGCCTGCCACGTAGACCCTAGGAATATCCCGGCCTCACTAGAACTCCGCCCAGGCTCGAGGGTTGCTGTCCAGCCCGGCCTGGCTGTGGGTTCCTATCGTGGGTCTGATTCCCAACTAGGCCCAACGGCTTATTTAATATTAACCCCATTTCAGGGCTTGATCCCGTTAATTAGGCTAATCCCGTTAAGGGGTGATCCTGTTATGGGCTGGATTATGTAATTGGGCCATGGTCAGAGTCCACGGTACCATCACATTCTTATCATGGTGTCTCCATATTACTTGTAGCCCATTGTTGTATCTTTCATATGAAACTTGAATCATTTCATTTGGATTTTTCTATGAAAAGATATGCTCAAACGATTGTTAGAACGTAATCCTAATTCATGGCTGCAAGGTGGACGGTGGTCCAAATAGCTGTTTTTTTATGCTTCTTGAGTCCACGTCCGTTCCCGTACTTGATCATTGAGCTCCCTTAACTTCGAAATCACTCCTTTAACGCCTCATAGACCTTCAATGCTTTTCAACAACTCTCCAATGTGTCTCAAATCATCCCGACCAATCCTCCGACGCAGGTGCCATACTTAATTTGCCGATTTTTACTCTAAAAACACCAATTGTAAACCAAAACCCGATAAACTATGATTTGAGTTAATTAGGTGATTTGTGACACATTTAAACTAGAAAAATTAGCTAAAACTAATATCGGCAAGCATAAAATGTGTGTTGAAATACAAACTTATTAAGCTACAAATAAAATTCTACATGATAGTTGACTAGTTTTTCTGGGCGGTGACCGGTTTGGACCACCCGGTCTGGATTGATCCTTGCCTTATGCTTCTTCCGGCCCGGTTTTTACGAAACTTAGCGGCCTAATTCAAGTAGGATACGGGATCCCACTTCCTAATGGAATTTTCTATTGTTACACACTTTCTCTACACACACATACACACTATAAATACCCCAAAAAATAATTTACCCCCTTTCCCTCACCCCTCTTTCCCTCACAGCCCTTTCCCTCATCCCTTTTCCCTCCCCGACGAAGAAAACCCCTCCTCCCAAAGTTTTCGCGCACCCTGTTTCTTTCTCCTTCGCTGACCATCGAAGAAAACCGTCGCCCTCCTCCCCGTCGCTGGCCGTCGAAGAAAATTGTCACCCTCCTCCCCATCGTTGGAAGCTTCTTCTCCGTCCAAGGTTGTTGACGAAAACCGCCACAACCCTCCGTTTGAACAAGGCCGTCGAACGCAACCCTCCTCTCGGCCAACCGCCGTCAATTCTGTGCGAACCCCTTGTCGATTCTGTCTCACTCCAATCCAAAATGGTGTGAACCCCACTTTATTCCATGACCGAAAGGTATATATCCTCTATCTTTGGATTTTTAACAATTTGAGGCTACTTGATGATGTTTATTTGGAGGGTTTATAAGATATTTTTGTTTATGAAGTTTTGGAACCCACCTATTGCTTGGATTTTGATCAATATACATTTATGTGGGGATATGTCATTACTTTCACTACTACAAAAAAAGCTATTTGCTGCGGTTATATTTGCTTATTTGCTGCGGTTTTGAACCGCAACAATTGAAGGAGCAGCAATTGTGTGATTTTGTTTTTGCTGCGGGTGGTAACCGCAGCAAATATGTCCACGTAATTTTTTTTTAATTTAGTTATTGCTGCGGGTATTCATGAACCGCAGCTAATAGTCCTTTCTTGTTTGGCCTTATTGTTGCGGGTAGCTTAGAACTAGAGCACATGTGATGTCTGACAATACTGACAATTACCACTGCCCTGAATTTTCTGCCAACTCAAGCACACAATTAAATATAAATATACGGAGTATAATACATCAAAACAAGTCCTGTAACTTTTAAATTTTATTAGAGTGCTTATACATTAAAGAATCCTCTAATGTCACATATAGAGTACATATAAAAGAACCACCAATCACATCCAATAGGATTAAAATTTAATCTAAAATACATTTATTACTATAAAGTTTACAACATGTTATCACAAACATAGATGGTCCATGCATACCGGACTTCACCTATCTCGTTTATTGACAACGCTCCATCTTGTACACCTAAAATAATAAGAAATTTCAATTACTACATGATAATAAACTAAATATATCATTTAATTTAGCATAAAGAACCAAAACTCCAAAAGTATATCTTTTACCGAACATATATACATTGAAATTAAAACTACGGAGTACTTTTCATTGAAACTAACTTCTACTTCTGAAGCCTCATTTGCGTTGTAATTGAAGTTTAAATTACTTCAATTAAAAAACTTACTACAAAAATATCATGAAGCAGTTGTATTTAACTCGCCACATGAATAATTATTAAAGTGTACCTGCTCCTTATTTTGACCATTGTTGATATATTTAATCACACCTGTTTGTTTTGCACACTGAAACATAAAGATATAGGCATAAAGACATTATTTCAACAATCCAAACCGCTTGAGTGTTACTACTTTAAAGAAATTTAAAAATTTAATAAAACACTTGATCAAAGTACATATATACTAATACCTTCACTTGCTTCCAAATCACTTTTTGCATACCTTCATCACCCGACATACTTCTAAAAACACTATTACGAAAGGATTCAAAATTAGAGCAACACAATCATACAGTAATATTTCGTATAAGTAGGTATGAATGAATACTTTTGAGCGAAATGAATATACACTACCACAATCTAAGAGACTGTCAATTTTAGTCATCACTTATTTACCCATTAATAATTAGTATTAAAAAAACTTTTTAATAAACAAGTAAATTCAAACTTAAACAATAAAACAATGAAAGAGCTAAGCAAAGAATGGAGTTAAAAAAGCAGTAGGCTGCACCACTGCAGGTCCAAATCTAAATAGCATCCTGCACCTTGCATGCCCAAAATCTCATTTGTTTAAGAAACTTTGTGGCTGTTATGAAATTTTGATTTATTTAAAACTTGTTTCATTGATAGAATAAAAAAAATCAAAAGAGCTCAAATGATCATTTTCAATAACTTTGGCCAAAAAGTACATTCCGCCCATTCCAGTATGCATAGTCAAATACTCAAATAATTAGTACTAGTAATTGGTAAAAAGTCCAACTGATCAGACCAGTATTTGAAAGAGTAGCTACCAAAACAGCCAAAAAGTCGTGTAATCCAGCTAAAATGTGAATGATTTGCAGCGTGATTCATTATAATGGATTGTGCCGAGAGCCCGAGTTATATAGATTTCAAAAGGATTAGTAGAACATACCAAATTGAGAAACTGAGAATTCATGAATATCCCCACCAGACTGCATTCATTGACAATTGTTTAATCCATACCAACATTTCGATATAAAATGTGAATTGTGAATATTTCACAATAAGTATCAAGGAATAAACTATTACCTTAACAAAAAAGTAAAATAATGCATAATGGCCATACTTTTTATGATAAAATAATTCCAATCAACCAAAGATATAAAAAATCAAAAGTCTACCAACCTGCACTTTGCCACTAGTAGGCTTAAAACCATCATCTGGATCCTCACTTGTTACACGGACAACAACACAATGACCTTTTGGCCTTATACTCTGCTTTGTTAAAATCAAATGGAGAGGCAACACGTGACTTCTCCTCCATGCATCATATCCACCACTGTGTTCTATTCCATAGAATGCCTTATTACTAACATAATGTACAGACAAGTTATATCAATAAAGAAAAAGAAAAAACCATATTGATGAGAACTTTCAGATGATCTAGCATGAAACCTGGAATCTGCTAGAGAGGAATGCCCATTCCAACACAACTTGGGCTGCTGGAAGGTTGGTTTCAAGCTTTTTCAATCTCTATGGGTGCAACAGTTATTGACTCTTCCTCAATAATCTAATACACATGAAAAGGCATGTATATATTAATGATATATTTTAAGTGTTGCTTCTGGTTTTATTCTCATAAACCTCCTATTGCCCAAAAGCATACGAAAATCATTTGTGCATGACTTAAATTAAATTTGCATTTTGATATCACAATCATTACTTATTAGCTTATGAGCTTATCTCCTTTTTGCTCACTAACTTCATTCTATAATAAAATCCTATTTAGAATCTTATAATCTAACTCTCCTCAATCTGTATTTTAGTTTATCCCTAAGTATAACAATTATTAATGATTCAGGCATTCACCCATAAACATTTTAGCCAAAATACGAACAGGAAATCAATTAGATTAACATCAAAACTAATTCAATAAATTCATAGAAATATTAACCATCCCATAAAATTGATAAAATTCAAATCACTCAACAAATTAAATGAAATGAAAAGATGCTGGAAACTAACCTCCAAGTATGTGCCAAAGAAGTAGGAGCCGAGGGAGGGCACGGTGACTGTACCCGGAGGGGGCGGCGGCTGAGATTTTGGAGGGGGTCGCGGCTGCAGCTGTGTTTATGGAGGAGAGGCGGCGCGCGGCTGCAGCTGCGAGGTGGCGAGGTCGCGTCTAGCTTCTGGAGGGGGAGGAGGACGGCGGCAACAACGATGGTTGGGCGGCGCCGCTGGAACCAGTGCAGCAACGTGAGGGAAATTGTTAGATACCAAGATTAAGTCTCTATCGGAAATTTTGGGAAGGGTTTTGTGTGGGAGCAGATGCGGCTGGGTGCAGGGCGGTATATCACTTAGAAGGTTATTGCTGTGGTTACCTAAGGCCCATAGCAAAAAGTGTTTTTTAAGGGTTGTTTGAGGCCGGTATTTGTTGATTGCAGCAAATGCAATTAATTTTCGGGGATTATTTGCTGCGGTTGCTTTAAGCCCGCAGCAAAATGTGAGTTTTTAAAGAGTATTTGCTGCGCGTATCCAAAAACCGCAGCAAATAGTTGAAAATGTTAACATATTGCTGCGGATTTTCTATAACCGCAGCAAATAGGTAGCAGCAAATAACAATAATTCTAGTAGTGTTTCCATGTATTGTCTGTGTAAGGTTAATTTGATGTCTGTTGAAGGACATATGTATTGTCTGTGTGAAGATACATTTGTGTAGTTATTTGTCTGTGTCAACTTATATGTAATTGGTTGTGACTCCATTTGTCTGTGAAGACTTAAATGATTGTCTGTATGAGTCTACATATGTCCATGTAAGTAATATGCTTGTCTGTGTGACTCTACTAAAACAGATCCAAATGAAAAAATGTGTAGAACTTTGGAGAAGTAATGAATTTTCCAATGTATTGTATAATTGTGGTTCACTTCTCCAACCGAGGATCAAATTCCTTAAAATACCTTGGTTAATTTGGAGTTCGGGTACCTTAAATTCATGTGTATTTAAGATTTTTTAATTAACTATTAATTCAACTTATATTAGTTCTTAGTGTTAGCATTATGTTAATAGCTAGCTCTCATCACTTCTCTTCTATATATAGATGATATGAATAGACTCATATGATGTAGCAAGTCAATACTCATATGCCTGTGTGACTTGGTTCTTTGTCTGTATCTAGCTGAATGCTTGTCTGTGTGACTTAACATATGTCTGTGCTTTTATGATTTATTTTATTACAATCACGGGGCACTTGGAGAGCGGAGGCAGTATATAATGTTTGTCTGTATATAATGTTTGTGGATATTCATGTTCTGTGGATATAATGTTTGTATGTACACAAAAATAATGTAAATGTAATGTTTGTATGAATTCTTTTATGTCCAGATCCGGTGTTTGTGACGTGATGGTTATGGCATTTGCCGAGTCATTGATGCAGAACTTGCCATTGCAGCCCGAGTATGCATATGAGAACATGGCAGCAAAAAGATGTGCATTTGCAATGACGCTCTGGACTTTGAGGAAGATCCACTTAGACTACTTTGGGTCTGCATGTTTAATGTAGGCTGGGTTTGGTTGTAAAACATTGATGTAACCTTACTATGGAGTACATTTTTTTGTGCTCATTTTTTGCCACCATGGGTTTGGTTGTTAAATGTAGGAGGTTGTACAATGTTACACTAACAATTTGTACAGTGTCCTAGAATGTACTCCCACATATTACCTGAATTGGTATGCCTTTTTGTTTTTGTGGCAAACACTTATTGTTTATGGTGTTATTATATATGAGGGATGCCTTTGTCTGTGAAGAAGAAAAATCTTGTTTGTGCTGTAATACGACTTTGTCTGTGATTTGTGTCGTAGTTGTCTGTGCTATGTATCCGCTATTACATCCACTTACAATATTTTTAATAACTACTTTATGTAATTTAATACCTCAGACTTTTATTACTTTGATTACTACTGGAGCCCATGTGTAATTTTGAGGTGATCAATAAGTTTACAGATTATTAGATTAATCTTACAAACTTTACTTTTTTATTTTAGTAACTACTCCGTAATTGTTTAAAAACTACTAGTATATGTAATCCATTGTCTATAGCGCGTCTGTGAAGAAGGAAAAATTTACGTATGGTGTAATACCACTTTGTCTGTCATTTGTGTTGTATTTGTCTGTGCTATGTATCCTT